AGACCAGACTGGGCAACATGACGAAACCTCATCTCTACCAAAAAAATTCAAATAATTATCCAGGCATGGTGGTGTGTGCCTGTAGTCCCAGCTACTCAGGAGGTTGCAGTGGGGGCATCGTTTGAGCCTGGGAGGCAGAGGTTGCAGTGAGCCAAGATTACACCACTGAAGTCCAGCTTGGGCTACAGGATGAGACCCTGTCTCATGGAAGCAAGGAGGGAAGGAAGGGAGGAAGGGAGGGAGAGAGGGAGGGAGAGAGGGGGAGGGAGGGAGGGAGGGAGGGGCCGGGTGCGGTGGCTCACAACTGTAATCCCAGCAATTTGGGAGTCTGAGTCAGGTGGATCACAAAGTCAGGAGATGAAGATGATCCTGGCTAACATCGTGAAATCCCCGTCTCTACTCAAAATACAAAAAATTAGCTGGGTGTGGTAGCACATGCCTGCAGGTCTAGCTACTTGTGAGGCTGAAGCAGGAGAATCACTTGAACCTGGGAGGGGGAGGTTGCAGTGAGCTGATATCACGCCACAACCACAATATTAGAGATGATAAATTTGCTGGATGGGATTAACAGCAGATCAGACGTTGCAGAAGAAATGATCAGGGAACATAGGACCATGAATAATTGGAAATATGCAAAATGAAACTCACAGAGAAAAGAGAATTTTTTTAAATGAAATGATTATCAGTGAACTGTAGGGCAGACTTAAGAGGTCTAAATTATGAGCCACCCCCCTCCCTCCCTCCCTCCTTCCTTCCTTCCTTTCTTCCTTCCTTCCATGAGACAGGGTCTCACCCTGTAGCCCAAGTTGGACTTCAGTGGTGTAATCTTGGCTCACTGCAACCTGAGCCAGGAGTCCCTGAGAAGGAGCAGGGAGGAAAGGAAACATTTATTTTCTTTCTTTGTTATTTTTATTAGGAATGGGGTCTCAGTACATTGCCCAGGCTGGTCTTGAATTTCAGGCCTCACTCAACACTTCCTGACTTGGCCTCCAGAAGGTGTGAGCCACTGTGCCCGGCCAATGTCTGAAGAAACAATAGCTGAAAACTTCTCAATCATAACAAAAATTACAAATCCAGTGACCCAAGGAGCTGAGGAAACCGAAGCACAAGAAACATGAAGAAAACCACTCCTGGATCCATTCAAAATAAGCATTTGCTCAAATGCCGGCCAAGAAGAAAAAGACATGTGTATCATGACACAGGAAGACAAAAATGGAGATGTGGGTCAGGGCGTTCCTTTCTGCTCCCGCCGTCCTCTACAGGAGCAGCAATGCACCCGACAGAGAGAGATACATGCTTTAAGGTACTGAGGAGGGAAGTAGCCTAGAATAACTGATGTCCAGAAAAAATAAATTCTTCAAAACTGGAAAGTGAAATAGACATTAGAGAGATGTATCAAAAGTGCTGACCAAATTCACTACCAGCCCGCCCACACTGTACAAGAAAACATTCAAAGCAGTCCATCCATGG